TATTTCTCTTTTTTCTTTATTATTATTGAAATCGATTTAAATTCCATTGGCTAAATAAATTCGAGTTTAATTGTGTATAATTTTGTTAATTTCAAAATTTTTCTTATTAGCCAAATTTATCAAATTATTTTAATTTTAAAAACTCTATAAAATTTTTGTTTTATTTTATATAAAATATTAACTCCGGAAACCTTAGAATCGTTAAAATTTTTTTTGATTTACATTAAATTGCTCCAGTAAATTGCAAAAGAATTTTTCTTTCGTCATAAATTTTTGTTTAAAGGAGTTATTTCGATATTTAGCAATATTACTTGTCATCATCGGTTTCCGACCTTATATAGGTTATTAACCTTTTGGTATACTCTACTTATCGTAGTCTAATATTGCAATAAAGAATTCGCTGACGTTTTTTTTTTATTCGAGGTGATTGCCTCACGCGTACTCGCACCTACATTCTTGTCAGCAAAAATATTCTTCTTCCGTATTGAGAAATCTTATACATTTTTTTGCTAATTAAGCAGTATCACTGGTAACCTAGTTACCTAAATTTATAAATAAGTTATTTTCGAAATTTTTTTCTTCTCTTTTGAAATCTATTTTTGATTAAAATTATTTTAAGCCTACTACACATATACTACATCCTACGAGAAGGGTGCTTTGAATTTAGCACCTTCTCTTACAAACTCTCACAGAAGTTTTACAGTTCTGGAAAGGTGCTTTAACTAGCACTTTCTTCATCTGAGAGAACTCTCACAAAATTTACACATTTACTTGGCTATAAAATAATTTTAACCAAAATAAGGAGCAAAATTTTATATTTTCGAAAATTTTTTTTGTATACAAAAAAAAAAATTTTTTTTTTCCTCTTGAAACTTTTGCTAACTAGAGATATTACCATTTTTGTAACTTTAGGAATATTTTTTTTCATGTGTGAAATTTTTTTTAATTGACATTGACTATTTTTGTTGTTAAAAATTGGCAACCCGTTTCCCCTAGTTTACAATATTAATAGGATTTTATTATTTTTTTTCAATATAGACAAATTACTATAGAAATTTGTTTTCCTCCCCTTTGTTGAACAACCGAACTATATTTTTACGAAATTTTTTTAAAAAATTATTTTAATTTTGGGAAATAAATTTATTTAAAATTTTTTTTGCGTCTGGTTATAACGCCAACTAATTGATATTTTTGTTTTGATTTTTTTTTATAATTTTAAATTTTTTATTTACTTCAATTTCAAAATTTTTTTTTGGGCGAATAGTACAATTACGCGTCCATAAAATTGTTTTTTTTTTTTGAGATTTTGAAAAGCCGAATGGGAAAGAATAGGCGATCGGGCTATCGATACTACATAAAGCAAGTACATTCGGACTTCATGATGGGCAAGGTACATCACCGGCCCTTAATCGAGACTAAATATTGGGAAGAAGATTTGGAACCCGCAAAGACCGTAATCGATAATAAGGCTACTGGTCCGAAAATTATAAAAATGTCACAGCCGTTATTGGACTTGACAAAAAAAAAATATTTAACCTTCGCCAAGCCCAGGCCCCTATTAAGACACCGTTCGAGTACAAACTCTATCCAATCGACTCAAAATCTCCAGCCCGAGACAAAAACTAAATTTTCATTTTAAAAAATTTTTATTTTTTTTTTATTTCGGATTTGACGAACGTTAACGCTCCAAGGAGCATAAAATTCTTTTATTTATTTTTTTTTTGTTTTTTTCATTTTATTTCTATTCCGGAATAGGTAAATTCCATTTTGGGTTAAAACACCTCATAATAATGACACACATACTAAGACTAAACGAAGACGATTTAACGAAAAATTGCGAAACTCAACTACATCGACAAATTCACAAAATAATAATAACCATAAATCGCACGGTAGTTCAGAAAAATCCGACGATAGACCGACTACAAGCGGGAATAAAACAGTGGGGGATGATGTAGGGAACCATCGATTCGGTCCACCCTTTATCGCCTACGACCCACCAACGTTCGAAGAGGCGGAGGATCTTTTCGCCGAAAGACATCATCGGCCAAAGTTATCTTCACCCGAAATAAAAATAAAATTCTCAATCAGCGGCAATGGGCTCACTTATGCCCAAGATCACTTAGTGCACTTTCTAGCAGCTGATTGCGAGATAATAAAACCAGTAGCAAAATTACTCCGTGATTTAAAATTTATAAATGCCGATGACCTCCATGCATCGAAACCTTCAAAGGGAGATGTATTCGTCACCAAGTTAGGTCGTTGCAAAATCTTCACGGATTGTATTCATTAAAACAAAACATTTTGAAAAGTTAGATCCAATTGACTTAATCGAAGGATTGAGAAATCTTCGACAGTCGATGCACAAAAATGATATCCATTCGCTTCGCTGTGCAAAACAGGGACGAATTTGACGATCTAGATATCCAAGCATATTTATTACAGGAGTTAAGAGATTGTCCGATAACGATTACTCTGTGCGAAGGGAACGTCGAGGTGCCAGACGAATCCCTCCGAACAAAAATAATCGAAGAAAATCATAATAGCTTAATAGGAGGCCATAAAGGTGTAGTAAAGACATATTGGCGTATTCGCGAGAGATATTACTGGCCAGGAATGAAAGATACAATTTATAATTACAACCGAGCCTGCGAAATATGCCAGAAAAATAAACTCACGCGAATAAAAACGAAACAGCCCCCACGGAAAAAGTATATATTCTGAAATATATTCCAGAATATATCCGAGAATATATTCCGAATATACCTCGTTTTGCCCGAGGAATATATTCCGGAATATATGGGCATGCACTCACTTGTATTCCATTTTACTCAAAATTTTGTGGGCAAAACGGGGTATATCCGGAATATATTTAGAATATATTCTAGAATATATTTCAGAATATATTCCAGAATATATACTTTTTCCGTGGGGGAGCCTATGTCTATTACAGATACACCCTTTGAACCTTTCGAAAAAATTAGCATAGACACTGTAGGACCCCTACCCATGACTCCCGATGGAAACGTACATATCTTAACTATACAAGATAATTTTTCTAAAGCAGCCGCGGCAGTTCCTCTCCCCGATATCAGAGCAGTCACTGTTGCAGACGCTTTATTAAATCACTATATCACTCTTTACGGGTGCCCCCGCGTAATTCTATCAGACAAGGGCATCTCATTTACCAGTAAACTAATACAACAACTTTCTAGAGCATTAAAAATTCAAAGAATAACAACTTCATCTTATTACCCTCAATCGAACGGATCTTTAGAGAGATCTCATCAGCCCTTAGTTGATTACCTCCGGGCTTATGTAGATAAATTTAATAACTGGGATCGGTATATCCCAATGGCATTGCTAAATTATAATACAACCGTTCATACAGCCACGAAATTTACACCTTACGAAATTTTGTACGGAAGAAAACCTCGGAGCCCAACTCAATTCCCGGATTTCAGTAAAATCGAATCGTATAACGATTATTTAGCAGATTTAATTAGTCGAATAAAATCGTATAAAATAGCTGAAATAAATGAAATGGGAAACTTACTTACCGAAAAAGAAAACTGGAAACAAAAATTACTTCACCCGAATAATGCTAAACCAGCCAGTTGCGAAAAATTTTACTAAAAAGCAATCCAAGGCGTCTGTTTCAGAGAAAAAAAAACCAATCCAACTCCGACATGAATATCGTACTACTTCTCTTCCTGGGGCTCTTACACCTGGCCTAGGGCACAGGGGAAGTCAAAATAAAACCACTGTACGATCCATTCAAGAAAATCAACTGGTTATATCCGAGAGTCAATAGCCATCAAAAAATGCAGACAGAAATTGAACAAGTACAACATCAACTGAGACAACTCCTCGAAGATCCGCGAATAGAAGAATTCGACCCACGAAACCGCACCAAAAGAGCTCCTTGATTCGGCTTCGTAGGCACAATCGTACGAGAGTTGTTCGGAACCATAAAACCACTAAACATTAATTCAGCTACGATCATCGATAAATTCGAGCGATGAGGCCAAGGGCTAGAAGAAAATAAAGAAAAATGTCACTCATAGCCCTACACCACTAAAAAGAAGAAACCAATAGTAGATGAAGAACAGGGGGACGACGAAATCTTCCTACAAGTCTAATGTGAAAAAATGAGTCTAATCAGATCAAATTTGATCTGGACAGATCTGGCCAAAATGCAGATCTGCCCAGATCTGATTTGATCAGAGTAGATCTAAACTTTTTTTCCCGGGTCGCCAAACACAAAACCAAGATGGTCGTTCTGACTCGCCAAAAATGGTTCCCAAAACCATTCGCTGTGGACATGGGAGGAACAACACTAACGTCAACAAGGGCCCTGCGCTATCTGGGGGTAATGATAGACGAGAAACTATCTTTCTGCGAACATCTCGATAATGCATGCCAGAAAGCCAGCAAGACGGTGTCTAGCCTAGCAAGAATTATGACGAACACTATGGGACCAAGAACCAAAAAGAGGAGAGTCCTTCTGGAAGCAGTCCATTCGGTACTGCTTTATGGAGCAGAAATATGGGCAGATATATTAAAGCAGAAAACCTATCGGTGGAAAATGGCAGCAGTGCAGCAGTGAGGCGCTCTCAGAGTTGCCCACGCCTACCGCACGGTTTCCGAAGCGGCTGTATTGGTCATTGCGGGAGCTGCGCCCATCGACCTATTAGCGTTCGAGAGAGCAAGACTCTACGACGCTAAAATCAGTAGCGAAAACATGAAGGAAGCAAGAACGAGGATAAAAACGGAAACGCAGCAAGAGTGGCAGGACCGATGGACTTCGGGTGAGACGGGCAGATGGACTGCGCGTCTGATTCTAAACAACAACGTCTGGCTTCCTCGGAAGTAGGGATAGGAAAGTCGACTCTGAGTTTAGTCAAAAATCGACTTTTATCTGAAAATAATCGACTTTTCAGAATCGTGTTGAGCCTCTCTTGAATCGATTAGAATCGACTTTTACTGGATGATTTTTTTCGACTTTTTTACAAACTTTTAAAAATTAACTACGAAAGTAAAATTAAGATTTGTAAAAGATATCGGCATAAAGATTTTTCCTTATCTATGGAGTGTAGATAAAAAGTACTTGCCAATAGTTGGAACTTCTCTACCCTGCGAACGGTTATTTTCACATGCAGGTCTAATTGCAAACCAGTCGATAAGTCGGTTATTACCTCAGCATTTAAATGAGCTTATATTCTTACGATCGATCGATGAAGAAATGTGGTTTTCTTAATTATTTGATTTTATTTTTTTAGTTAAAAATGCAATTTTATTATTCAATGTCAACTGTATGCAATTTGATCATAAAATATTTTCTATACACTGAGAAAAAAATAATAGTTTCATTAAGAAAATTTTCTTGATACAAGAATTTATGTTCTTGAAAATTTTCGTGAATATATATTCTTAGCTCAAGAAATTGTTAAATTGATAGAAATAATTTTTACTTAATTTAAATAAAGCTATTCTTTTGTTTATCTATTATCCAAAGATAAATATTGATGTTCTTCTCTTCAGAAATTAATAATTAATAATAATTGAATATTTGATCTTTAACGAGTTTCTTGAACCAAGAAATTGTTAATTGACTAAAAGTACTTTTATTTCTCAGTGTAACATGATAAAAACTCAAAAAGTATGTTTGAACGATCATAATTTAATAAAATATAAATATATCTAACAATTTATGCAAGAATTACTAAATTTCTAAAAAGTCGACTCAAGTCACAAAAGTCGACTATCAAAAATGATTAATCGACTTCAAGAATCGAAAAACTTGAAGTCGATTACAGAGTAAAAAATCGATTCTTTGCGCGCTTTTTCCATCCCTACTTAGAAGCACGGGGACACGGACTTCTTTCTAACCCAGCTATTGACGGAACATGGGCAGTTCAATGCCTACTTTTTCAAGATGGGTTTGCACAGCACACCAACGTGCAAATACTGTCCAGACAAATTGACATCGCCGAGCACACGTTTTTCGAGTGTGATCGGTGGAAGGACGACAGAATCAGCACCGAAGAAACAATAGGCACCACGCTCTCCCCTGAGAGCTTGGTAACCTGCATAATCAAAAACGAAAAAACTGGACAGCTGTAGCAGCCTACGCGCAGCGCCTTTTAAAAGAAAAAATCGCAGAAAGGGATTAGAAACCAGTAGTAACAAGAAGTAGGTGTCGTGAGGCACAACATGAACTGGATTGAAGTAATGCTATCACGGTCCTGATCCAGTTTTCCCTGTAACATCTACGGGGAAAAAAGAGAGGAGGATGTTTAGTCGGTATTGTTGCAAAATAGTATTGACTTCTGAGTCCAACATACCCAGGCACCCACACACACACATACAGACATAGTGACAATTCCGCGGGGATAGTCAGGGAAGCTTCATATGACCTTCAAACGTCGAGATCTGATGGAAACTTGATTTTTGCAAAACGGGGTAAAACCAATAACTTCCCGATTTTTTAAAATCTTCGATTTTCTTAGCGGGAAGTTAAAAATGCGAAAAAGTCAAATTTCGAAAAATTTGACTTTTTTTTACTAAAAACTCCATAAAAACTTCATTTTTTAAGTTAAATGAAAATGACCTCCGGAATTCTACTCCGGATATCGCATACTTTGCAAAAAAAAGTGGTGTCACGTCGAGCTTTTCAAACAGTATATTGATTTGTGCAATTAAAATCGTAAATTTCTATGGATCTCAAAAAATCTTCAAACAATAATAGATGGTACCACAGATACCATCTTGATTGATATCTTCGAAGCAAGAGCATTTCAAAAATAGTGTATTCAGAGTTTCATACATGACGGACAGGAAAATTTTTTAACCTATTTTGATGTTTTTCTCCGTTTCTAGTGCACTTAATCAATGTTTGAAGTGTCAAATTAATCTTCATTAAATTATCTTGACAATAGTATGCACAATATCTTGATTCCGTGAACTAACAAGACTATAATAAT